CGTTATCGAGTCAGTAACTTATCCGGAAGGAACTTTTCACGGGCCCGTACGTAGGTACCACGCTTACCTAACCCCGAGTTATGAATTTGCGCTGGAAAAATTTTGGGGGGCCCATACACGGGTACCACGCTTACCCAAGCTTTCTAGCATCTCAGAACCCCGTGCTATGAATTTGCGCGGGAAAAAATTTGGGGGGCCCATACGCGGGTACCACGCTTACCCGAGCCGCCAGAACTGTCAGGAAACATCCCCTCAAAATTCCAGTCTTCTAGCTCCTCACGTTATCGAGGGGAAAAATTTTGGGGGGTCCGTACGCGGGTACCACGCTCACCCGGGGGCTGGATTTGAGCCCATTAGAGAACTTTTCACGGGCCTGTACGTACCGAGTTATGAATTTGCGCGGGAAAAATTTTGGGGGGCCCGTACACGGGTACCACGCTTACCCGGAAGAACCCCGAGTTATGAATTTGCGCGGGAAAAATTTTGGGGGGGCTCGTACACGGGTACCATGCTTATCCGGGGGTTTGGATTTGAGCCCATTAGCATCTGCTTGGACGGGGAACATTCCCCTAAAATTTCAGCCTTCTAGCACCGGATTTGAGCTCATTAGCACAAACTTTGGGGAGCTCGCACGCGAGTACCACGTTTACCCGGGGTCTGGATTTGAGCCCATTAGCATGTGCTTGGACGGGGAACATTCGCCTAAAATTTCAGCTTTCTAGCATCTCAGAACCCCGAGTTATGAATTCGCGCGGGAAAACTTTGGGGGGCCCATACGCGGGTACCACGCTTACAGATCCCCGAGTCATGAACTTACCCGGAAAAAACTTTGGCGGGCTCGTAAGGGGGTACCACGCTTGCTAACCCCGAGTTATGAATTTGCGCTGGAAAAATTTTGGGGGGCCCATACACGGGTACCACGCTTACCCAAGCTTTCTAGCATCTCAGAACCCCGTGCTATGAATTTGCGCGGGAAAAAATTTGGGGGGCCCATACGCGGGTACCACGCTTACCCGAGCCGCCAGAACTGTCAGGAAACATCCCCTCAAAATTCCAGTCTTCTAGCTCCTCACGTTATCGAGGGGAAAAATTTTGGGGGGTCCGTACGCGGGTACCACGCTCACCCGGGGGCTGGATTTGAGCCCATTAGACCTCAAAATTCCAGTCTTCTAGCTCCTCACGTTATCGAGTCAGTAACTTGCCCGGAAGGAACATTTTACGGGCCTGTACGTATAGATCCCCGAGTTATGAATTTGCGCGGGAAAAACTTTTGGGGGCCCGTTAACGGGTACCACGCTTGACCCGGGGGCTGGGTTTGAGCCCATTAGCGAAACTTTGGGGAGCTCGCACGCGAGTACCACGTTTACCCGGGGTCTGGATTTGAGCCCATTAGCATGTGTGGACGGGGACATTCCCCTAAAATTTCAGCTTTCTAGCACCTCAGAGCCCCGAGTTATGAATTTGCGCGGGAAAATTTTGGGGGGCCCATACAC